GCATTAAGTGTTAGATGTTAAGAGAGCAAGCTGTGCTCATGTGAACCTGCATGAGAGGGCTCAAAGTGGATTGGTGTGGGACAAAGGCTTCGGGAAACAGGCCAGATGGAGAAGGGCAGAAGGAAGGCTGTTATGGCTCAGAGGAGTAAGGTAGAGATAACTCACACTGCACCCTGCATTTTTTGCTCATCCAGCAAATGCATGTGTGCTGTGCACTGTGCTAGGTGCTGGGGATACTGTGGTGAACAAAACCTGAAGCTGCCCTCAGGAACCTTATACAGCGTTGGAGGGGAGGCTGACCCCAATCAAGAAATCATGACAAGTACTACCAAGGAGAAGGACAAGATGTTCTAATTTTTAATAAGAGAGATTGACCCAGGCAGGGAGATCAGGCAAGGCTTCCTTGATGAAGTGACTTTCAGCTGAGGTCTGCAGGGGGAGGGAAGAGCATCCACAAAGGCCCAGGGGCAGAGGGCACACGGTGAGCCAAGGGTGACAGGCTGGTGTGGGCTGAGGCAGGCAGAGCCCTAGGTGTGCAGGGCTGGAGCGCGGAGACGAGATGCTCCGCTTTGGTGGAGGGGACTGGGACCCACACCACACCAGTACTAACTGATTCCAGCTGTAATGGAAGAGGCCACAGGTGATTGTAGGAATCAAGGGAGGGGGATGGATTCCCGCCTGGAGGACCAGGGCTGTTCTCATTGAGGACAGGTGCTTTAGATAGACTTTGAAGGAAAAGACGCTTGCTTGGTTGTGTGACAGCATGGTGGTCGTGGGGGGCTCAGGAGATAAGGACGTGTTAGGCAGAAGGTGCAGCACACACATGAAGTGGAGTCTAGCCGAGGGGTAGGGCACTGGGGAGGGAGCAGGGAGTTGAGGCAGAAAGGAGGAGTGCGAGGGATTCTGGGACCTCTGTCTGTTCTCCCTTAGGGCTTCTTGCCCTTTCTCCACAGAGGTGTGATTTTTTTGTGTCCGCCCCATCTCATCTCCCCGGTGGGCATGACTTGGCTGAGACTCTGGACAGCAGCTTCTAGATCCCGCTCCTACCTGCCCTGAGAGTGGACAGGGTCACCAGGGAGGCCTGGGGAGAGAGGGGCAAAGGGGTAAGGATGGGGAGGGGGCTCACGTAACTTTGTGCGATTAAAGGTGCTTAGCAACCATATCTTCAAGTCCCTGGGGTTAATTTATTTTGAGACACGGCCTCTGTTGCTTAGGCTGGAGTGCAGTGGGATGATCGCCACTCGCTGCAGCCTTGAACTCCCAGGCCGAAGTGAGCCTCCCACTTCAGCCTCCAGAGTAGCTGGGATTACATGTGTGCGTCACCACTCCTGGGTAGTTTGTATTTTTTGTAGAGACGGGCCTCGCTGTTGCTTAGGCTGGTCTTGAACTCCTGGGTTCAAGGGATTCTGCTGCCTGGGCCTCCCACAGTGCTGGGATTACAGGTGTGAACCATCACGCAGGCCCCTGGCGTTTATTATGTGCCAAGTGTTGTGCTTTACTTCATCAGGATAGCTTGCAGTGAAATGACGTCCTTGCCCCATTTCACAGATGAGAAACCTGAGGCCCAGAAAGTTTGAGTTGCTTGCCCTAAGTCTCAGCACTCGGGGACTGCACCGGGAACTCTTGAGCCCCGCGGTTGTCGGGCTGTGACCTTGCTCCCTGTCCTCCGCAGCGCGGGCGCCATGGACAAGATCTTGGAGGCGGTGGTGACGTCGTCATACCCGGTCAGCGTGAAGCAGGGGCTGGTTCGGCGCGTGCTGGAGGCGGCGCGGCAGCCTCTGGAGCGTGAGCAGTGCCT